TCTCTCTCTCCTCTCTCTCTCTCTCTCTCTCTCTCTCTCCCCTCTCTCTCTCTCTCTCTCTCTCTCTCTCTCTCTCTCTCCTCTCTCTCTCTCTCTCTCTCTCTCTCTCTCTCTCTCTCTCTCTCTCTCTCTCTCTCCTCTCTCTCTCTCTCTCTCTCTCTCCTCTCTCTCTCTCTCTCTCTCTCTCTCTCCTCTCTCTCTCTCTCTCTCTCTCTCTCTCTCTCTCTCTCTCTCTCTCTCTCTCTCTCCTCTCTCTCTCTCTCTCTCTCTCTCTCTCTCTCTCTCTCTCTCTCTCTCTCTCTCTCTCTCTCTCTCTCTCTCTCTCTCTCTCTCTCTCTCTCTCTCTCCTCTCTCTCTCTCTCTCTCCTCTCTCTCTCTTCTCTCTCTCTCTCTCTCTCTCTCACTCTCTCTCTCTCTCTCTCTCTCTCTCTCTCTCTCTCTCTCTCTCTCTCTCTCTCTCTCTCTCTCTCTCTCTCTCTCTCTCTCTCTCTCTCTCTCTCTCTCTCTCTCTCTCTCTCTCTCTCTCTCTCTCTCTCTCTCTCTCTCTCTCTCTCTCTCTCTCTCTCTCTCTCTCTCTCTCTCTCTCTCTCTCTCTCTCTCCTCTCTCTCTCTCTCTCTCTCTCTCTCTCTCTCTCTCTCTCTCTCTCTCTCTCTCTCTCTCTCTCTCTCTCTCTCTCTCTCTCTCTCCTCTCTCTCTCTCCTGATAGGGCAATGCAATACTGGACATGCAGAACTCTCTAGAGTTTGGGGCAAGGTGTGCCACAGGAGATGACTGCATTTGTAGCACTGCACCGCCTGTCTCCGCTGGCAGTGTTTTGCACAGTGTCATTCTGTGCCGTTGACGCATGCTTTCCAGCACCAAATATCATGCACAGAAGCCTCGGCTGTGAGCGCAGGGCCCGGCAATGGCAAATAACGTCTTCGGCAGTTGAAAAGCATACTGATACCTACATAACCTTAAGTGATGGGTCTATGACTTACTACTAATGTGTGTGTGTTGTGCCTTTGTGTGTAATTGTGCGTTCAGTATTGACACTCCCTACGTGCTGTTGGAAGGAGACCGTGTATCATTCAAGAAGTGCGCCGTTCCACCCAAGTGCGAGCAAATGCAAGCAGTGCATGTTCTAATCAGCGAAGAAGACATTTCACTAAAGGCGCGGGAAACGTGGCAAAGCTGAGCGGCTGACGTTTTTCGACTGGAGCTGTTTTGGTTTGTAATTCAGTTTTACTCCTGACCGGTGTTATGCCAAGTACCTGACGTATTTCTATTGACTCATATTCCGTGTCTGGCTGCCACGATGGATGACATCTTTCTCCATCTGTGTGGGTAGTATATGTGTGTGTGTGTGTGTGTGTGTGTGTGTGTGTGTGTGTGTGTGTGTGTGTGTGTGTGTGTGTGCCGTTTGCTGAAGACTTTTTGTGAGCTACAACAGGTTGGGAAATGTATCCCGGTTCCTGGCTGAGTATGCGAGTGCTTGCAGTTCACATGCGTGCTACGCCATTATCATTGTCAAGATTTCTTCTGCTGCCGCGTGCCATCAACGGCTGAGCCTGATGTATGCGATGATGCAGCTCCGCATTTCTGTTTGTGCAAATGCACGGCGGATCTAGCCCCAAGTTTTGACTTCTTGCTAAGATGGAAATGATATGTTTCGATGTTGTAGATAATGACAAAGTCGGCTGTCTCCTGCCAATGCATCCTGCATTCGGAAATTTGAAGAGGGTTTTTGTCACCATTGTTCTTTGAAACGAGCAGCAATTTACCTGAGCTCATCGGTGTATGTGTGTGTTTCATGCTTTTTGTCAATTTGTTTTTGTCTACTTTACTTTGGCTTGTTCCAGCTGCTGTTCAATGAACAGCTAAGTTGTTTTGTCAGTCTGACCCGGTGACATGAGGCTGTGCTCACAAGCTATGTGATGTTCACGAGTCATGCCACACCGTATTTCTTACTGGATCCTTCTATTTTCTTTTTTTTTTCAATAGTACCTGCGATCTCTCCCCACCTGGGTAGTGTGCCAGTTGTATGGATCTGCCCGATACCCTCACGGTATCGGCTTGTTGCCAGTTGTATGGATCTGCCCGATACCCTCACGGTATCGGCTTGTTGCCAGTTGTATGGATCTGCCCGATACCCTCACGGTATCGGCTTGTTGCCAGTTGTATGGATCTGCCCGATACCCTCACGGTATCGGCTTGTTGCCAGTTGTATGGATCTGCCCGATACCCTCACGGTATCGGCTTGTTGCCAGTTGTATGGATCTGCCCGATACCCTCACGGTATCGGCTTGTTGCCAGTTGTATGGATCTGCCCGATACCCTCACGGTATCGGCTTGTTGCCAGTTGTATGGATCTGCCCGATACCCTCACGGTATCGGCTTGTTGCCAGTTGTATGGATCTGCCCGATACCCTCACGGTATCGGCTTGTTGCCAGTTGTATGAATCTGCCCGATACCCTCACGGTATCGGCTTGTTGCCAGTTGTATGGATCTGCCCGATACCCTCACGGTATCGGCTTGTTGCCAGTTGAAGATCATCATAACTGTGATCAGATACATGACTTGATGTGCTCTGCCGGTCACAGTTCATTGGTCCTGACTGCGGCTGTTCAGTGAGTACAATCATGTAGGTGCCTCGAGAAATGATCGCAACCTAGTGCATGGCCAGTCGTTGGCACTAGAAATGAACCAGTGATGTTAAATGTACATGTGACTAGGTGGTGTTGTGAGCCAAACGTTTGGAGAAATCGTAGTCTTCTGGCACGGTGCTGTGGCGTGAACGTGTCTTGGTCCCAATCAGGCTGCAACGCATACATGTAGTTTGTACGGTGCAGTCACGGCCATAGTTTGAAACGATGACGTAGCAGTGCCTCGACAGTGCAGAGACGATTAGTATTAGGGTGTGCTTCGAATTATTTTCTTTGATGGCAACCATGGCAACTCCATGCAGAATTGGCTTGAGGGAAAGGATGCAAACGAGAAAAGGGAAAGTTACTCCAGAAGCGAATGATTCCAGGTGCATGGCTGTGATACATCGTTTCCCAACTTGATCCAGCACGTTCTGTGTTCAGTCAGTCTCTCCGTATGACTAGTAGCTATGGAGTCGAACAGGAACATACTGATCTCAATGAGTACAATCATGCACTGAGTATGGTGCCCTCACTGCTACACTAAGTCTTGTAGAGATGATATTCGATACTAGTGTACAGTGTACTGATCATGTGATAGGACAAGTCCCATCTATACCTACAATCATGTACATGTATTATGGAAGACTAACATCCGGCTATATCAAGTATCATCCGCATTTGGCAGGATTAGTGGTGGCAAGCTGGTGACCCAGTAAAGCCCTTTTCTATCGGAGGAAATAGTTTTTCAAGGCATAGCACATGTGGTACCAACTGCCATGTTTCATTCACATAATTCTACACAGTCATCTGGATTTGGCAAACGGAAGCCGATGTCACAAGTCATTTCCTGTCTTTTCCGCTTGCCCGACTCTTCTTTCCCTGTACTCACGCTAGAATAGTGCAGGGAGAAGATAGGCATTTGGCACATTGGCAGATTTTATGGCATGCCGGTATGATCAAGTCACATGATGTGGCTTGTGCTTTCTCTTGTGTGTGTACAGTATTATAATAGCAAATGATTTTGTATGGTATAGCGGGGCCCAGTAAACAGTAGCTCATGATGTAGACTAGTATTGGCAGGAGTACATACGCCTGGGGCTATGACACCGTTGTTATTGGGGTGAAGTCATAATCCCTCACCAGGTAAAGTAAACAAATTGACCGCATGATACGAAGACAAGAACTTGTATTACTGCGGTGTGGTTGGGAAGGAGCTGAGCCGTGTCCCGTGCATGCATACGTGTATGACGAGGCTGCATTGGCTGGCATGGCACCAGGGGGTAGAACAATATGTGTTATAGCGCCTTGCTTGATAGGTTTTGTTCTGTCCCCGGGGAAAATTGCGGAAAAAAATCGCAAAAAAACGCGGCATAATATGGCATAATTTGCGGTAAATATGCGGTGAATATGCGGTGAATAATACTGATGTGCGGCAATTTTTAGCGAGTATGTAGTGAAATCAATCAGTTACAGTCTCTGGTGTAAGCACTCGTCATATTTGAGCAAAACGCCGCCGCGATGAGACGCTGCTGACCGAACAGTGCACTGTGTGTACGTGTAATGCAACAAAAAAGTTCAAAAAACGCGGGAAAATCGCGGAAAACGCGGTCTTTTAAAAAATCGCAAAAAACGCGGCCGCGGAATCGCAATTTTCCCCGGGTACAGTTTGTTGTCATGTACGAGTGCTACTCCCTTGCAGGCGATGCGCCGTTTTGCGAAAAGTCGACGTTTAGAGGTAGTTTTATTATCCCAAATGCCAAAGCGCGGGAAAATTCAAATGCAAACAGCTGCATTTTGGAGACGTATTTTTTATCGACAGTCGGGCAGTCAATGCCAATTTTCTCAAGAAGAAGAGTATTCAGAGGCATTGTTGTGCATTTTCCGTTGATACTATACGTGTGCCCTAGTGTTTGCATGAGCGAGGGTGGTGGTTTTGCAAAACCGTTCGCATGGCGGGCGGGTTTGTAAGAAGAAAGGCTTCAGCCATTGACGAGCGACGAGAAGCCTGTCATTTCGTGCCATTTGAGTTAGCAGTAGCACCGGACAATACTGACACATGTCTGCGGCAGCAAACATAGTGTACTAACGGATCAAAAACAGCCACAATGTGTGTCACTGCGGAAACGGGCTGTAGAGGTGCATTTGCAAAGCTGCTGATTTTCATCGTCTTTCCATGCACAGGGTACGTATCATGCCCTTGGCATAGGCCAAAGCACGAAAGCTTTAGCTGGACACCACCCACAATCTCCACGTGGGTCCCAGTGTACCTGCTGCTGCCGATGAGAACCGCCCTATAAGCGGTTTACCCACCCGTGTGTCCTCAATACGACTGAGAATACATCAGAAGTACGCCATAAGCATTGGAAACCTGTACAGTTGAATCCAATTTCGACCAGAATGACTGTATTGGTTGGAAATGCATTGCACCATTCCACTGAAACGTTAACACACAAGAACAGGAAAAGGATGTAACAGAAAACGAAAGAATGTAACACAAAAGATAATCCCAAACCAGCGGAAAAAAAGAACGTGGGAAGAAAAGCACTGTGGCTGGTGTAGGAAGCAAATACTGCAAATACTAGGCTAAACGGGAAGTACCAAATTATGTGGTTGTTGAGCATCTCAGAGTCGACAAAGGGATAACGGAATGAGAGAGACCGACTATTTTTTGTCAAAACTGTCACAAGCCAGCAGCTGGTGATTGTTGAGGAAGGTAGTTACACCACACTGACCGACACCACTGCTGTGGGTAATGATTACGTGCATCGATCATTGTGCAGCACCTGGCAGCAATAAACCAGACAAAGCAGTACAATACCATGCAGAAGATGAAATGCTTGACGGAGTATAAGTAGTAGCAGACAAACTGTTACACAATGGAGCAACATTATTTGCTATTAAAATGGCATAAATATATTATTACTTTGACGAATACCCGACACATAACATTCCCGCTACAAGCATTACTAACTCTACCGTCCCTGATGCAGGAGGGACTAGTAGCACACATTCCTACTGCATACCCCAAAGCTAAGAAAGGTGGCATCATGCTCATGTGAGCCGTTTGGGTACCACCCAAGCTCTGCACCAGGCTCTGTCCAGGTGCAGACACACAACCCTGGAGGACGAATGCAACCCCAAAACACGATGTAGTAAAGGGCAAGTCTATGGCCACAGCTGTCAAAGTTATCCACCAAATTGACCTACAGCAGGCCAATGTACAGTGGAGGAGAGTACCGAGAAACTAAGAATAAAGGACTTATTGCCTGTTTGTCAGACTATCCACCCCAAGCTATGGTCATGAGGGTGGACAATATTGGATGGTGACAATTCCACCTCGCTCTCGTTTTCTCCCCTGGAATGAAGCTTCACACACATACCTGTAGTACCTGTGGTGTCTACAAGTAGTATAAACAGTCCTTCACTTACTCCACTGCTTTCTATAAAAGCCTGTCTTATGCAGAAGCCTGTTCTGAACACAAGCCTGAGTTCCAAGATAGGCAATTAGCACAATAGTGTGGATTTTGCATCGGCAACCATAAAAAGTTTGGTTTGACTACAAACATAATGCAACATAATGTAAATAGAGGCCTAGCCACCACACCGGCTTCTACAGAAATACGCCTGGCTTTCATAAACGACATTACAGTAAGCACTCACCCACTTCAGTTGGTGCTTGCAGACGTGTTAGACACATACAGCCAGTCAAGTACACTTGCAGGGATCTTTTCTCAATGGGGAGTAACGGCTGGCCATAATACCTACAATACATACAGAATGACAATGGTGAACATAGCAAAAGGGAAAGGCATTCAAGACCTGCAGCTCCATGTATACATGCCGAGTGTAAGCGTGGTGTCTGTGGACAAAATCGACAAAGAGGTACCCTGGCAACAAAATGTAGTGCCAGGATGCCAGCAGAAGGCTACGTGGCACACCAGTCCAACATGTAAATCAACTACCATCCAGTTGTCACATTAGAGCCCAATTGTTGAAGTTCCACGGCCATTTGCCTGCCACATGCCAATCACAAGCACTGAGGAAGAAACTGAGACAAAGCGACGTCGAAGCAAAACACTAACACAGACAGGCGGGTTCCCCACACAGTGAAACTTCAGTATAAAGTACTAGTAGTACCAAGAGTCCATGACGTCAAGAGTATGCGACTGCACGCGGGTTCTGGCACTGCGCTCGGCCCACATTACGTATCCACGAACTGGGGAATCAGCCCATAGTCCGCAAATCAGAGTTGCACGCTTGTGGGTTGTGGGGTTGGGTTATGCAGACACCTGACAGTATGGATATACATGTAACATACTACGGGATATAAAGTACTTGTACTACAGTCAGACCTCGCTTATCCGGTCCTCTTTTATCTGGATCCCTCGCCATCCGGAAGAAAATAGCTGGTTACATATTTACAGCATACGTGATGCATCCAACATAAACGGTGTTCGGTTATCCGGTTCCCTCGCCTATCCGGATGTTTTTGTGGAAAACAGATGTGTGCGGTTATGCGAGGTCTGACTGTATTATGCAGAACCTTGCACCATGCAATACGCTATATCGGTACAGACCAATTATTTGAAAGGTATTGGAGGTTTGCTATACAGTGTACTGAAGTATCACTGCGATGCTGAATTGCCAATACATGTACATACATGTAGTGGAACATGAAGCTGTACAACCAGTTGACGTGTATTTGTGTAACGGAATCTCAGCCATTCCGTTCCCCGGGACGCAGGACACAAAGGACAACGAAATCACACTACGACTGCAAGACTCAAAATGTGAACAAACATGTAATTTGATGGGGATCTTTCACCGAGGAGTCAGGTGATGGCGGTGCCGTAAAACCTACACGTGGAATTCAGCTGAACTGGAATTGTTGTCTCTGGAGTATTGCTTAATATAAGCAACAAATCTACTATCAACTACCCACCTCTTCAAGGTAGGGATGGTGAAGAACCAATGACCTAGTCATGGTGTGGGGCTCTGACAAACATCTTGCAGCAGTCAGACAGCCTGTCACAGGCCTGACAAAAGGCTGTGGGTGCAAGTCCTGCTGCAGGATCATACAATGCGAGTGCAAAAAAGCAAATCTGTTATGCAGGCCAGGGCTAAAATGCCACACTTTCAACAACACCTCCGCGAGGGAAGAATCCAACAGTTCCAGTAAGCAAAAAGTTGTTTAATTTGAGGAGACTGAAAAGCAAGAAACCAGCAACGAATTGGACCAAGATTGAGTCAATGTGCACACAGGTGATGCGTGCGTGTTATTGTTTACTGGAATTATGGCGTATATGCTAGAAACATGGAATGCACTACGAATTCTGACCTGAAATACACAAATATACACATTTGCCTGAGTTTCAATGAGCATGGATAGATGTGGAACACAATACTTCCACTGGAAATGGTGATATACCGGGAACACAATCCATCTGCTGCTAGATGGGCGAGAAACTATTGTAACCTGGGATATATTGAAACTTAGGTGTGATGAAATGTCACTTTCGTGGATTTTACACGTACCGTAAAGTACCGCCAGAGCGCCCCGTCTCGCGAGAGCGCCCCACCTTGATTTTACAGCCAGAGAAAGGAAAATCGTATGGCGGAGTGCAACGAAGTGTGTACGATGTGAGAATCTTAGTGTACTAAGGTCACACTTGGCAGGTTTTTGTGTGGAGCTTGTGTCAGCTTGAAGGTGCGGATTGACTGCAAAACGTGCAATATGTGTACAAGGTTCATGTCGTATGACCTACAGACAGCCGTCCACCTCCACAATACGACCACGAAAGGATGAGATGGTGGGGCGCTCTGGCGGTACTTTACGGTACAGTATTACAAAAAAATTCTTTCATTTCGTGCCATTTGAGTTAGCAGTAGGTCTGGACATAGACATGACCAAATCTTTACACAGGTTGGTTGGGACTATCTTTCTGCTATCTCGGATATTGTGTAAGATTTGATGGAGTCCATTACTGGCTGAATACCAAAGAAGGGAGGAAATTTCTACGACTGTACTGTAAGAAAACGACGACACGAAACTTCCCAATGGCTCAATAGCTGACCCCAAAAATATTACGGATTACTTTAGTACTTACTCAAGTCACATCGAATTCCTTATCGGCGGGCTCCAGGCTGTGAAACGCCTCCAGTGGGTCTGAAAGTTCGACAACGTCAGCAATTACTTCTTCACGGAATCGTCATCTTCACCTCTGCACAAAATGAGCTGACCGGGATAATAAAAAACGGCTTTTTTTCGCTCTGGCGCATCGACTGCTTGGCATGGCAGGCATCACATACATGTACTAGCAAGAGTACATAACCAAGAGTGTGCAACTGCCTGCACAACCTCTATGGCTATGCTGTGCTGCGACGGCAGAACTTCACATCACGTGACATGGTTCAAAAGGTTATGCTGGCAAACAGTGCAAAGCAGGGAGTAGTAAAATACAGGGAGGTGACACGCCACTAATCGTGATTTTTGATGGGTGCCTAGCGCCTCGCGCTTGGTTTTTTTTCTTTCGCAAAAAAAGATGATCTGCTGAATCAATCTTGAGTATTTGTCGAAGAACTAATTCCGTGAAAAGGTCTATCCATCTCATGGAACAGCATTTGTTTTGCTCTTGTGATACATCTGTGTCATCGTCATATGGAAAGGTACCACCCTTCCGAAAATCGTCCCGATCGACGGCATGGAGCAATAGAAGGAAGGTGATTTCCTTGAGAACAATACGTGTACGATTGGAGATGAAAAGCGAGTGCACAGATTTTGAAGTCGAAAAAATCTCTAGGACACCACACGATCGCCCCTAATTTCTCCTCAGTTGTGATCAACCAGTACTTCTCTACCTTCTTTGTGATGATGAGCATTTCATATTATGGTATGCTAGAGATTCGGGAGTTCACTTTTCGGAATGAAATGTTCCTAAGTTTGTCAAGGATTGAAATGCGGGCTACGTCGTCGTAAACAGCTTGTATCGACACAGGAAAAATCTACGGCACGCAGGGATATCTCGCAAAGTGATACCACTCTTGCTGGACTTCTATCCTGACATAGTGGTAGTTTGGTCGACTACCAAACTTTGTGAAGGCAGACAATTGTTGGAAATTCTCAGCGCTGAGTTTCTACGGGCTGCAGTAGGAGTCTCTTTGGCGGTAGGCATTTTACTACTCCCTGATCGAGAGAATCCTGATCCGCGCGCGTGTCTACACACTTCGGTACCCATAGTACCCCAATCTCACCCGCCGGGTGAAAACGGTGCTGAGGCAATCGTCAAACTGGCCGTACATGCTCGTGTCACCTCCCTGTATTTTACTACTCCCTGGTTGTACCCAAAGCTGGGCTGCGTACAACCCAGTATCTATCATGCACTAGAGTGCACGGGTTCATCACGTGATGTGAAGTGCTGCCGTCGCAGACCCCATAGCTGGAGTTGCACACTCTTGGGTTATGTAGTACTAGTACAATAATTATTGTACTTGTAACCAGGGAGTCATGAAGTACCGATATTAATATTTTTATGACTCCTTGCACATAACTATGATGAAGAGTGCTATGATTAGGAGTGGACAGGGGTGCTGGTGAGTGGTGACCATGCATCAGGGAGTTGTGGGTCTATACAACTCCCTGCCATGCATGCACTTGTGCAAGATGCTTAGAGCAGCGATAGGATCAGCACAAGTGAATGGACTAGTGAACACCAAGTCACCACTAATAGCCACTATTCGTGCAATGAGAACCACCACTTCTCTTCAGGGAAAACACATCCATAATAATGGTACTTGTATTAGTCTATCGATCGAGTCAGCGAAAATCATGTTATCAGCATCAGATCCGTGCGTACAGCGAAGATTCTGAAGCACTTCCTGTGCCGTTCATGAGCTGCTGCAGTGAGCTGACAGATATTGTAGAGAAAATAACTCGGCTAGCAGAGTAGAAGCATGCAATGATGCATGTTTGGCATTGTGAAAAGCTAACGTTCTATGGGAGGCCATGTATGTACCTAGGTAACTGCATTGGGAGGGAAATGCCAAAAATACAACTAACTTGAAGAAGACAGAATATCAATAAGGCAGTCTTCGAGCAGCTCTCTCCACTACAAAAATAATGTCTTCAAGACCTAACAGAGGTCTACAAGGAAGCGAAAAGTTTAAAAAAAATACAAAATATTTCGAAGTACCCAGCGCTAGAACACAGCCAATGGTCAGACAGAATAGCTTTGCAGTACGCCTGGATTTCATGATAGCACTAAAAGGATCAGTGGATGCACAGCACAAGAGTCAATAACTATCTCTGAGTATGGCACGGGTGAAAATGCGTGTGCGTGTGTGTGGGCGTGTGTACAAGCGCAATGCACCTGTATTTACATGCAGTGCAGTGGATATGAGGACGTGACAGTAATAATTAATAGGTCCGTTTCTTCGCTCAAACATTCACTAAAATCCAGATCGCTGAATTTCGGCCACAACATGTAACAATCTAATTGAGCTTGTGTTGGGCATTGGGGAACGACAGATTGGTTGTGTTGGAACGTGGACGGAAGGGTGGTGGTGCCTTGGACGGTGAAAAGGAGAAGGCGAATGGCTCCTGTATAGGATGCTTATTGGGAAACAAGTGGGATGAAAGCGCTCTGCCCTCCTGCACACTGAAGCGTGTGCTAAGCGAAGGGTGACTATTTTCCTTGCCCGGTGGTGCGCGGGGCGCCGGCTGCTTCAATTCTGCCCAGGCCTTACTTGTCCCGTGGTGTGGCTGTGCGGCCATCTGCTGCTGGCGGTACGCGTGGAACGACGGCGCCGACGAGGACGAGAACACGGACGTTTGCGAGACGGCCGACCCCCTGCGGCTGTCGTTGCTGTCCAGGGGCCGGCGGTTGCGACGGCGACTGCGCCGCTGCTGCAAGCCCGCCGCGCTGATGTACTTGCCGCCCTGGTCTATGAAGATAGGCTCGCAGCGCCCTCCTCCTCCCACTCCACCTCCTCCTTGCAGATCATCACCGCTACTATGAGCGCTGGAGGATGTAGGTAGTGGTTCTGATGTGACACGACTTGCCCCATAAGGGTCTACATGTTGATACGTGCCTGTCGACTTCACCCTAAAGGACAAGAAGTAATAAAAGATGAGGCACCAGCAAGCATTGTTAAAAGTTTCTATGAAAATGAACAGTACGCACTGTGCCAGGATTGTAAAACCACTAATAAACAGACACCCAGCGAAACTTCATAGGACATGAGTTTGCGGGTGAGTACTACTTAGTGTCGGTAGCACAAGGGATCCATTTGTTTTCACTGCGCTTGGCGTGTGTGTGTGTATGTGTGTGTGTGCGTGTGTGTGCGTACGTGTGTCAGGCTATCAGAGAAACATACTTGTAGGTCACAGATATTCAGGCATGTTCGTGTGTGGGTGGGGGGGGGGGGGGGGGGGTGGGGGGGTGATGGTGCACGCTGTACGATTTTGTAACTGAACTGTGTGCTAGCATACAATAGAACAGAGATCTGAGACCTGGTATTCGGAATTCCTGAGTGAGTTCGTAACAATTATCCACAAGAGTTCCTTATCCAAGTACATTGATCAAGCAACTGTGATACACATCTGTGCATTGACACTCTGGGGTACATTATCACGTGGAATGGTACCTATGATTAGAGTATGAATAAAACACGACTGCAGCCATTTGCGGGGCAACTTGTCCCATATTTGGCAGGTACAACCAGCTCTACACACACGTATACGCGTACCTACACGTGAGCATGACTGTACAGAGTCAGAGTACATGACCTTTTTTTGCACTGCAGGGCTGACATCTTACTAATGTGTGCGGCTGAAGCGGACTTGCCCTCACGAAAACAAACTGAGGGAAGATTACTAGTAATAATGCAAATCTCCCATTGCATGATGGCTCAGGAGAATGAAATAAATTTCTGAGCGGTACGCCTCCACTAATATTATTGGTCAAGTGCATGCATGCAACTGCATATTAGAACCTAACACTTTTTTTCCGGTACGAAGCCTCTTCTACGGGCAAAATTATTGTCATAAATAAACCAATACAATCATGTCATGAAAATACAAAACCAAACACTCACCTCTTTCTTGGTGGATAATCTGTGTTGGACGTCTCCTCGCACATTATTGATGAAGATTCAGATGGGTTGTTGCCATAGATGATATCTTCTGTGAACAGGCTGCCCTGCGGCGCAGGCTCCTTTGCCGGATCAGACAGAAAGCCCATGTCCTGGGCACTGCGTATGATGTGCATCACGTCCGTCTGCCGGTTAGTGTTATCTTTGACCGCGCGGTTACACACGGCCATGAACATCTTGCGGAAGTTTTCTTTCGCCGCCTTGTCCCCGCTGCCGTGGCCACTGGGCAACGCATACAGGACTGGCGGAGGTGGCAACTCGTCGATACTTGGTGAGCTGTAGGCATTAGTAGGGACCGCCGCTGCTATCTCCGAGAACACAGACTGCCTACTGACACGATCATAGTCACCGGAGTTGGTGTTGGGCGACTGGATCTGCGATAGAGGCTCACTGGCAACAGCATTGCTGTCGGCGTCGATGTTACTCTCTCCAATGCCGTCGGACGGCAAGACTTCCTGACCACAGCGTGACTGTATGCGCTGGTACACTGGACTGCAGCCTGAACGATCGGCGTCGGCGGGTGCCAGCTGGATGAAGGGACTGCGCAAGGATGCGTTCGACACGCCCATGTCATCCAGATCGGCACAACCAGTGCTGGCGCAGCCCGTGCTGGCGCCGAAGCAATCTGACGCGAAGCTGGAGTGAGAGAGCGCGTACGGTCGCTTGGTCAGCGAGCTCGACATGATGGCGTAGTCAGCGTCTCCGGTGGGAGACTGCTCGGATACGGCGGAGACAAAGCTGCACACCGGCTGAATGCCGGTTTGCGATGTCTGCTGCTCTTGCTGATGGTCGAGATGCTCTTGCTGACTGTCATGTTCCATCGTAGTGACCGTCAGAGGTGCAGCTGCCAGGTTATCACCTGAGTTTGTTGCTACCATGCATGGGATTATACGATTAGCCTGTCCAGCTGCTGACAGCGGAGGGGGCAGGCTGGGTAGAGGCTTTTGCAGGTCGCCAATTGGCAACATACCCGCAATTCTGCCCGCCGATGTAGATGGCAGAACTTTCGCCTGGTCTATGGACTTCCTGTTTTCTAACAGCGAATGGTCCAGTCCCAGAGCCTCCATGGACGTTTTCTGGCCGAGCACACGCTTTGCCGGCTGAGAGTAAGTGTCACGAGTGTCAAGATCTGCACTATGCTGCTCGGATTCGTTTTCCGATCCTTTCTTCACTCGACTGCCTATTCTGGACGTGATTTGCTTGGCAAAGCTGAACGACCTCTGCTGCCGTACATCCGTGATTCCCAGCTGCATGAAACGCTTGCGTTTCCGCGGCGTAGATAGAATGCCTTTGGCCCGGCTTCTTGCTTCTGAATCTGTCATCGCTGACACAGCTGCTGGGCTGGCTGCTGCCAGTGCAGCTTGTTGCACTGAGCAAGGTGCTGCTGGAACTGCTGTGGCGCTGTGCGGTAAATCCACCATAGCTACACTTTGCAGCATCGGGGCAACGCTTCTGTCCATCTGGGCGGCGTGGCTTTGCAATGGCGGAGAGAACCGTGCGGAAAGCTGAGAGATTGCACTGTCCATGCGGTCAATCTTCGCGTGCATTCCTTCCATTTGAGCGTAAACCTTTTGCAGCAGATCGCTTATGCTGTGCGTGTCCATGTTCACAGCACACCTGTCTGCTAACTGTGTTGCAGGACTGTTGGCGGTTGTACAGTCTTCAGCCGCTCCTAGGTGCATTCTGAGCTGATTGAGGACGTCCTGGTGGTGTGAAGCTGAGTTGTCCATACTCGCAAGCCCTCTCTGGGGCTTATCTCCGGTAACACTACTGCTAGTGGTGTTGGTCCGGTCTTCATCAACTGTGTTTCTTCTCGCCAGCTCTGCTTTCTTGCTGCTGCTGTGCAAGGGCGATGCGGCTATCGCGGCGATTCGGGAAACCAGGTGTCGCGGCGCCCGGCCTGGCGTTCTCACCAGTGTGCGGGGCGAAGAGGATTCACTGCAGTTTTGCTGTGCAGTCGAGGCGGTGTGCTGCTGAAGAGACGAGGGCAGCTGGCCTCCATCTTGGTGATCTGTGATTGAAGCAATCAGATCCATCCCCGGCACAGCGTAGGAAAGCGAGCTGGCTGAACGTGATTTAGGGAAGAGCAGCAGCAGAATTGCTCCAACACTACAGTGCCTGCAACTGTCATGTAATACCCCAACAGCAAGAAGACGTCCAGCAGTCCTGGCCTCTCAAGCAGGCAACGGCCGTACAACTACCAGCTGAATGATCAAATGCATCAAGACAGCCAAGAAGATCCTTTGACTGCTCTGCAGAATTCACCACGAACGTCCAGACACCCGTTCAGCAACACGAACATGCCATTCTTCGGATAGAAAACGGAAACCACCAAGAAAAACAGCAAACTGCCTTTGCGGGTAAATTTTGAAAATAATGCCTTGGAAACGGGCCATGACCATGACAATTTTCGTTATCGCTTTTATCTGACACACCGGGCCCGGCCGGGCCCCGGGGGCCGGTGCAGCTGTCCCTGGCCCTGATGAGCGCGTGCGCGCGGGGGGGGGGGCGGGGGGCGCGGGCGTATCATCAGATCCCAGATCGGGGAGCTGGAGGGTAGGGGGTATCTCCTGAAAATACCCATGGGGCCATGCTTCTGATCGCCGTGTGATCGGCCTGCATGCTTGGAGTTGGACTGTGCTGGTCCGCTGCTAGCATGCTGGAGTGACGTTGAACTGGAGCTGCATTCGATCTCTGCGAAGTGCGATCTGAAATCATCGCCATATCGGGCATATGCGCATCGACGTCTCAAATCTTGCTGTTTTTGTAGTTTCTTTGCATCGCGATCAACGACGTCCAAACTCGGCAAAAAGGTACGTCCGCGTCCGTGCACTGACTGCATGACTCGTAGTGCAGCTGGCAACCAGATCGTTGAACGATTTTTGTTGTCAATTCCTTTTTCTGCTTTGTTTTGGAGGCATCCACGAGTGGAAAGTCACAACAGTTACATGATTGTACATGTATGTAGAGTTCGTATCCTGCAGAGATTTGTTGAACGCAATGAAGCAGTGAATTCCTTCTCTCGCCTGGACATAATTGGGTAGTCAGTTCCCATTTAGCTGACCTGGCTGTGGAACACTGATTTATGGGTTTGAAAATGCAAGTAGGTGTGTAATCAATTTCGCTCTTCTGGTCAACTGGAGGGTGTGATGTGCTGGTTTCCCTATCATGAGTGGTGAGTCGTTCGTTACATGCTATGCCGAATATTGCATCCAAGTAAAAGGTTGTGGCTACTGCAATTTGCACTGCATCTGGTCTGATCAATTCCTGCTGAATTATTCTCTGTGAAGATTGTTTCTTTGTCGTGGAGTAGTAAGCAAGGAGTTTATAACGCCAATAGGAATGAAGTTGGTTTCCCATCGTATCCCGTTTTGCATGTATTTGGACTGCTAGGCGTGGAGAGCCTGTATGCCTGAGAAAGTTTCCAATTCCATTTCTGGTTACTGCCGGATGTACAAACCCAAACTCTTGGCAAATCGTATTAGAGAGCTTTGCAGCCACGGTCAAATCATAGCTTTGATTGAGTCTGTTCCCATTTTGGTTCCGCATTTCTCTACTCTCAGCCCACTCTTGCGTTGTCCTGTTTTCAAATGGGGAAAGGCTCACAAGAAGGAGGTCTTCGAATATTTTAGTACTACATGTATAAGAGAAATTGAATTATAGCTTTCTCAACACTTGTAAATCGAATTTGGGAACTAACTTTACAGAGACAAATTTTACAAGGCATTCTTCCTGCCATCATTGCATATTGAATGCAAGTCCGACCATCACATTTATATTGAACCTAGCAATGGAGCCTTTGGACTTGATTTGAACTGCAGACTTTCTCACCATTTATGCCATGCTTTTCGTACCACAACTCGGTCGTGCGTGTTGCTGTAATGCTCTTTTGGATGAAACATTTCCATTGTACATGTACATGTCTAGAGCAAGTCACAGTTGCTGTGTACATTAAATAGCCAGCGGATAGCGGCTTTGATTTGCTCATATTAGTAAATCAAGTGTTTTCGTTTGAAACTTTTCGTAACCAGTACGGTCAAGAGTAGATAAACAAGAGTGTGCAACTCGCGGATGGGTAGGCCCACGGCGGAATTTTTTTGTTGACGTAATCTTTTCGACAACGCACACGCTACGAGTCTTTCGGAAAGTTTTCCCTCGTGCTCTTGTCCGGGCTTTACACTACAAGGTCGGTGCCCAGCACGTGCTCTCACACTGCTCTGTGGCAAAATGCGCGTTTCTCTGAAAAAAGGTGACGTCAACAAATAATTCCGCTGTGGGCGGGGGTATCTGCAGATTGTGCAGGAGAGATCCGGAGTTGCACACTCTTGTTTATCTACTCTTGGTACGGTGTATAGATGGTTGCGTCTTTGGCGATATTTGGGGAATCTTGTGTTGAAGGCACAGTAAGAGCTCATGCTTTCCCCGCCGACTTGATTTTGACACTTGACTCTGACTGCCAAACAGAGCATACGAAAGAAAAGGCCCATCACACCGACAACTTTGCAAACCTCCAAGAAAGCACTACTTCCTGATCAGTGCAAAGCATCAGCGCCCATATAGAAAACATCATGCCATTGTCGTAAACAGGCCCAGTTATTTTTTTATCAACTGGTTATGATGAATGCAATCTTGACCCCATTCCTGATCTTATGCTTGTCTTGTTGTGGTGTGCAGGTACGTACACTAGCATTGGGAACCCATCATCCAACACAGCCATGTGGCAAATGAATTTCGATGAAGCTGGCTTTGCCAGCGGGTTCTCAAATCAGCCATCTGGAGTGAGCACGGCAGCTTCAACCACGGCAGCTCCCAACTTCGCAAACTTTGATGCTCCAGGCCACACATCGTCGCCTGCCAACACCACCACTACATGGAACACCGAGTTGTCTGCTCCGAGTCCCAAGAATTCAGGTGGACAGTCACCATGGATGCGCCCTATGCCATCACCTTCCACCCAACGCTTGGATCAATCTGCAGCGACTCAGTCGAGTGGGCTACCCTCTATTTCTACAACCGCACCTAAAGTCCATATCCGCAGTGCAGAGGAATGCGCTGCTAACCCTCCAGCGGCGTTTGGTGACCTGTGTAGTATCGCACCGCCTCCGCCTGTCAATGTTCGACAGAAGACATCTGTTGGCGAAGGTATTTCTCGGACGCGACCCGGAACAGAACGCAAATCGCGGATGCGTCGCCACTCTTCTATGGACGATTCCTCGTCGACAACAGATGGCAACACTGACCCCATGGCTAGCCTACACCAGCAAACGCCCAACACTCGGCACATGGTGTTGCCAGGTGCTATGTCCTTTGATCTCTCCAGTCCGTCAAGGACCGAGTCAGACACATCATCTCCCTGGAGTGCGGTTAATAACACAGCAGATGGGTCACGAATAACGCACTCTGAGTTGAGCCCTGCGCCCCGGTCAGACGCTGCTTCTTCCGTATCTCTATTAGATAGCAGCCTCCAGTCATCAGCCATCTCGATGCGAGAGACGCATTCGAACATCGGCCTATCAGCGCCCCTCATCCCGGACACTACCACCATCACACCTCCGCCTCTCCGACACCCAGCTCAAATGCAAGGTGATGGTCTCGAGCAGCAACAGCAACAGGAGCCGCCGAGCGATGACTGGACTATCTCGCAGCAGCAGCGAGAGTACTACGAGACCCAGTTCCGCAACCTTGCGGATAACCAAGAAGTGGTCACCGGTTAGTGTTCTACTTGCTCTCTCTTTCTCACTTTGTATCCATTCAAGCAGCGCGTGAACGCAAGCATTAACTTACCGTAAAGTACCGTTGATCCGCCCCCTCTCTAATTCCCGCCCCCTGTCGATTTTCTCCTTGTGAAGCGACTTCGCCGTATACAACGAAATACGATGTTGAACCGACGCATGCACTGCTGTACACAATACTTGCCAATCCAGGATCAAAATGTGCACAATTCAGCACATTGAGTCTGATCCTCTACGTTGTTGTACATCGTACTGCACTTGACAGCCTTGATCTAATTCCCGCCCCCTGCCGAAAACCCAGCTGGGAAGCGACATGGCGTGGGGGCGGATCAACGGTACTTTACGGTATTTACGGTGCTCCGGTGCTTGGCCGAGTGCGCACAGGATTGTCGTTCGTTCTAGAATTCCACGTTCACGTTTCACGTTTCCTGCGTTTCACATTATTATCTTGACGTGAATGTATGTGCACGGAATGTGTACGTAATTTATGTGCGCGGAATGTGTACGTTCAGGTGTATGTGCACGGAATGTGTACGTTCATGTGTATGTACACGGAATGTGTACGTAATTTATGTGCACGGAATGTGTACGTTCAGGTGTATGTGCACGGAATGTGTACGTTCAGGTGTGAACCTAGCACCCCAGGGTGAATGCGTTTTCGCCGTATTTCGGTGTCTGCTACTGTAGCATACACTGCTTTGTGCGTGATGTGGGCTATCTATTTATCCATTTGTTGTTAGGTGCCAAAGCAAGAGGCTTCTTCCTCAAGTCGCGCCTCCCCGCTCCTGAGCTTTCCCAGATCTGGTGAGTAATTCTAACTGCTTTCGTGGAGAAGTTAGTGTGCCACTTGGGAGTGGATTTGTTTTTTGGACTGAACCATAACTATGCTCATGGGCAGGGCATATGCATTTGCAGGTCAGCTACATGCACATGCATTGGCAACTGACTTCTTTCCTATTGAGCGGTGAGCATCTTGACTAGTTGAGCATTGCCTTGTCTTTTGCTTGGTCATGTTCTTGTCTTGGAAATAACCGACTGTTGTGGAACTAGGGATACTTAGCAGTCAGTTGTATGTTGGGGTGAAAGTTGGCACCGAGATCCCGAGTTCCAGTACTCTAATTTTCTCGCATCTCAAATCACATGATACAATCCTGATCGAACTATTGGCAGTCATTTTTCTCAGGTGTATTGGTTGGTGAGGCATTTGGGCTCTCTCTTCTTGTGCAAAAAAAGTTCACCACACAGTCTGCACATCAATATCTGCTGACTGCTGCCCTAAAACTGCAGATTTCTGTGGTAAATGCATGCAGTATGAACGAGTACTCTGATTTATTCCGAGTACAATTATTTTCAATTATTTTGTGAGAAAAATACCCGAGCGAGTGCTCGAATATTCGGTATAATTGTTTCACCTCTATAGTTGTATATACCAGTACATTGGCTAGACAGAGGGTGGTCAAGAGCCACGTTGTGTTACTGGCATCACCAATGGCTATGTTCGTTCTATGGAAATCCTGTCCAATTCGTATTCTTGCCGTCTTGATGTACCCGGATATGCTTTCGAATACCGACTTTGTTTTGCCTCGGTGGACATGGCTTGTATTCCAAGGTATCCAGAAAAATATTCTGGTTTTCTGAGTTCAACGTTCTTAGACTTCTTTCCATGCTCTCTCTCTCTCTCCCTCTCTCTGCTTGCTTTGCAGGAGACTGTCGGATGTGGATAACGATGGAGCACTGAATTCAATAGAGTTCTGCGTCGCCATGCAGCTGGTCTTTGCAAGGAGACGCGGTATTGATTTGCCCGACGCTCTACCACCGCCACTGGTTGCTTTCCACCGCGATTGTTCAGCAGCTACTTTAGCTCCACACGCCGTGCCGTCTCCCTCTCAGCTGCCACTTTTGAATCGAACACCGGATCCGAGTGATTCGGACAGCGATGATGAAGCTAATATCGTCACAGCTGCGGTAGGCCGAATTAGCTTCACTAATGACTAGTAGAGTATGTGTGCCCTCTGCTTGTCCATGTTCATGATTTGAACTATAGGCGACTTGATGTGGGCAAGAGTACTTGAGCCAGGGCGTACAGCTTGAGCAGGTTACAGTCGAAGTGTCACTTGCTTTACAGTAAGACCGCGCGCCAAAGAACTCTTAGGCAGTAAACTGGCACAAATTTAAGAACAATCCAGACTTTTTCACATGGCGTGGTTGTATTGTATGCTCTGCATGGTCGCGGAATAAGAACGAAACGACCAGCATGCGAGAACGTTAGAACAATGCTAGGCTGCGCCTTGAGCCCCTGCGTTCTTCGGCGCCCGGTCTTACTGTATGTCTGACATTGAAATGTTCTGATTTGGCAGTATTATGTACCTGCGCCAAGAGCCGTGCAGGTGTGCAGTGCCACACTGCCAATCATATAATAAGAATTATTATCGCCACTTCTATGATCCTTGAAGGGTGGTGGCGTTCCTACGGATGCGGAAAACTCGGCCTTCAGCTGAGTCTGACGCGAACCGTGAATTTTTTTGTATCATCTCATCAAAAGTTTCATGGGCACACCCTGCTATTCCGATCTCGTATGGAGAGGTGCAGACATTCTGGTTTATATACTCTTGCTGTGAATCAGTCTTCTGCTGGGCTCTATGAATGGAATCATCCACTTTCTGTGCATTTATCTAAAAATGAAGAGTTTGTGTGTGTGTGTGTGTGGTGTGTGCGCGCATGTATGTATGTGTTTGTGTGTGTGTGTGTGTGTGTGTGCGTGCGTGCGTGTGTTATGCACACATGCACACGCGCGCGCGCGCGCGCGCGCGCACACACACACACACACATACACACACACACACACACACAGAGGCCGCTGAACTGGAGATGCTCACTTCAGCTTGTGGTCAACTCCAGACCCTGCTTCACACATTGTCTTCGCTGTGCCTGTATGTGAACTGAAGTTCCTGTTGGTGTATCTCGGCTTGGTTTGTTACTGCTCTAGACTTCCACTGGCAGTGCGTGGCAAGGCTCAACCCTATCAACAGAAACAGATGGAAAACCGTCTTTGAAGCCTAAGCCAAGTCCTGCCGGCAAAGACCGACCTGTCTTGCCCAAACGACCGACTCAGCCTGACATTGCCTCTCCAAATCGATCGTCTGAACCTGGATCTCCGCACCACCGTTCAGCGGATGCTGACAGCCTGTCCTCGCTCAAGCCTGATCACAAAAAGCCAACGCGTCCTGCGAAGAGCGCCACTCTGGGGCGCGGTCCCGTGCAACCGCTGGACCGCTCCAGCACCGGCTGGTCGCAGGAAGCTGGTGATCTCATCGGGCGACAAGCAGCGCCCGAGCCCGCTCCGCGCGTTCCCAGGCGTGCCGTGAGCGGCCACCATCGCGGCGGCAGTGTTGGTGATCCTCGCTTAATGGCGAGTATCACCAGTGGCGACTTCCCGCCGCATGTACCCACCCGTGAAACGGTGTCCACTGGTAGTGATAATCGACCTTCACATTCCACTGTGGCTGAGCTTGGCAGTTTACTTGAGGGCAGAATGTCCGAAACCAGAGGTCACCCGGCTAAAGCAGAGGACTCTCCCAAGCACTCGTCGCTTGATGTTGCAGTTCACGAGGGTTCGGTTGCTGCAGCTGCTGCAGAACTGGCCCAAGCCCTGCAAGGTAAATGCTTCTGTGATATTTTTGAGCACCACTGTGGTATCCTCAGTGAGCGACAGCAGAAAGGAAAGAAAGTCGGACTCTTGCTTAGGGCTGCGGGACTGCTTGTGCAATAGTGGCATGTTGAGTTAAAAAAAAGTCACATTCTGTGGGTCCACGTGTGTTCTGTTCAATGAGGTTTGAGGATGACCAAGGGCCAAATAGTTGTGAGCTCACTTTCTCTGTGCTGCGCTGATGAGTCCACAAAGGACGAAACAGTCCTGTCCGCAGATTGCCCTCTGTGTTACATATACCATACTACGCCGGGGGCTACTATTTTTTCAATACCAATTTCGAGGAGGCTTCTATTCGAGAGGGGCTTTTATTGTTTCATTCCATACTGGTATTCCAATCGAATCTCTAAAACGTTCATATTCACAGCAACTCGGCCCCGAGTTAGTTTGCACACACTACATCGACCAGGACATGTACCAATAGGAACATGCACGAGATGTTTTTTTTGCAGACTTGACCTTCATACACGGCACTACCTGGTCACCCCATGCTTTGCGAATAGTAGTCCGGGCTTCTGTTCGAGAGGGGCTTGTATTTTTTCAAACAGTCCTTGTAAAGTAAAGTTTGCACGTCCGCGTTACCACCGGCTATACAATTGCGTTGAAAAACACAACCAGCTTAGTACAACCCTTGTAGGGGGCTTTTATTCGAGAGGGGCTTCTAATCAAGTGAGTACGGTAAATTCCTATTGTTGGTGGTGGTGGTGGTGGTGGTGGTTGTTTTACTTCCGTGTCGCCAGAGGTTCTACCTCCGTGGGCTTCATCGGAACATTTATTTATTTTAACTGTGCTTGGAATCTACTGAAGTATGTTTTGCTGTTGCTGTGTATGCTTGTTTCCAGGTCCACCCACGATTCGCGCAGGTACAACGCCGGTGAGTCGTGCTGCTGCATATTGTACTCTATCTCCCTCTTGTTGTATCTTTCCTCAGTGTGTACTCTCTTCGCCGAATACTTTGCCAGGTGGATATCTTGTGAGAATGCACCCTAATCAATGACAAACACTTCGTGGTCAGTATGCCGTGTGCACGGCCTGTAACCTCGTCATTGCTAGCCATCTCCATCTTGGTGCACTACACGTCTGCTTGAAACTTACTCAATCGGTGGACAGTACTGCTTCGTTCTTTGTAGACTCATCAGCGCACTAGGGGCGTGTTCATCTGGGGTGATCTGAGAGCAGAACAAGCACATGGAGCAGTGCGAGCAGTCAGTTCTGAGGCGAATGCGATGGAGCACGCAGAGCAGTTTCTGTGACGTTGACATAGAAATCATGGTGCCTGAGTTCATCATTTTTCCATTTTGCGGGGGGGGGGGGGGATTAGGGGTGTCGACGAGTAGTAGGGCACCCGTGCTACCCGTAATTTGATCGGGTAGT